GGGATGCTTAGGGGTGGGCATCCTACGGAACAGCTAAGGGTTGCTGCTGGGACGACGCTGGTCGGAGCTGGGGTGAGTTGTGTCACCCTGTAACCTAGCAGGATGTGGGGTGTGAGACCTGGAAGAGCTCGGCAGGGAGTAGGACAGTGTTGAAAGGCCTCGGAAGGAGCGTTAGGGATTCCAAGGGTTTCTGAGCATTTCTAGGACCCGMCAGGCCTTTTTYATGTTTTCAAATTRCGAATYYTTACGTAGTTAAATCCAATTCTCAAAAAAAGGGGGTAGTCTGTTCCGTCCTTAAAAAGTCTTCTGGATCCTGGGGTTTCCTGGCAATCTCTTCTAGGTAGYTTCAAGGCTGTAATACTCGGTGRCCTAAGGCTGTTCGACGCCAGAACGACGCTGGCCGGTGCTGKGGTGYTGCCCTGTAACCTGTTGATGCAGGGGCATGAGGCCTGGTAGAGAGATCTGGGGGTGCTTTGGGGGGGCATCCTACGGGACAACCAAGGGTTGCTGCTGAGACGAYGCTGGCCGGAGCTGGGGTGAGTTGTGTTGCCCTGTAACCCAGCAGGATGGGGGGTGTGAGGCCTGGAAGCTCGGCAGGGAATACGACAGTGTTGGAGATCCTTGGAAGGATCTGTTAGGGAWTTTGYGGGATWGGGGGCTTTTTTAGGACTTTTGCAGTCTATTCCCGTACCTTTTCTGAGTAACGGGAAGGTCAGGGATTGAGAGAGAAAGGTACCACGCATCCTGCTAGTGAAGGGGCTAGCTGGTAGGACAGAAATAGGGCATAGCAGCAGTAGAGATGGTGGCTTTGCTGCAGTAAGTCTTGCCGGAGTGGGGTGAGGAGGACTGTTGGTGGATTCCCGAGTCTTCTTCTGGTTTTTGTTTATCTCTGAATGTTCCTTACAAAAAAGCTCTGAAGTGCCCCTGTCTCTTATACACATCTAGATGTGTATAAGAGACAGGTGCTGTGGTGCTGCCCTGTAACCTGTTGATGCAGGGGCATGAGGCCTGGTAGAGAGATCTGGGGGTGCTTTGGGGGGGCATCCTACGGGACAACCAAGGGTTGCTGCTGAGACGATGCTGGCCGGAGCTGGGGTGAGTTGTGTTGCCCCTGTCTCTTATACACATCTAGATGTGTATAAGAGACAGGTATATGTACCGTCAGATCACCCTCACAAAACACATTTTATATCAAACCTCAACTTTGTCACCCCGCCTGCAAATTTTCTTATTATAAAGGGGGATTGGAACATAGTCCCTAACCTAGACATTGACTCTACTACCCCACTCTCGCGTCCTAGTGAGTCTGGTGCCCTCAATGACCTCATGATGAACATGGGTCTCTTTGATCCTTACCGCTCTCTGCATCCAGATTCTCGCCAGTATACGTGGATATCCTCTTCCTTAACATACTCCAATATCCACACTAGGAGGAGACTTGATCTCCTATTGACTAACGATGTTGTGTTGCAACTGGTACACTAAGCAGAAATCATCACTGTCTTTTTTTCCGATCATAAAATGGTATATCTAGAAATCAACTAGGGGTTGCARACCACGAACTTCAAGGGGYGAGGCCTATTTTGACTGAATYTCCATGTATTGGAGGACCCTGGCTATAAAGTGGGTCTGGAAATCATATGACGAATGATAATTCAATACAACCCTATTTGAAAATGAAGGAGACTGGCTCGATAAGGGTCTTACCCTTATATCTAACCAAGTCATTTTGATATCCAAAGTAAAGGCGGTCAATAGGAAATACCAAGAACTTCAAGAGGCTGTCGAATTTGTTCTGACAGCCATCGAATTTTTTCGCCTTTCGACTGTGGTGCTGCGAGGCCCACACAGTGTCGAAAACCCAAGGTTGACCTCCTGTAGCTGAACGGAGCTAGTGGGACAAGGTCCCTGTGAGAGACGGGGAGGATTCAATGCTTGCCAACAGTTTCATTTCCAGGGCTTCACTGTGATGTAGTACTTTCCAGAATGTATCTGGCTGCACTTTGGTGCAGCAGAGGATGTATCTGAGGGCAATCACTTTCCGAGCTTGGTATCTCTTTCCCCCTTTTTTTTTTTTTTTTTTTTTTTTTTTTCGGAAGCAGTATCTCGACTATCTCGGCTGTTTGTGCTTCTGCTCCGCATGAGAGACAGGGAGCATTCAATGAGTGCCAACCGCCGTTTCAATTCCAGGGCTTCAATGTGACATAGCACTTTCCAGAATGTATCTGGCTGCACTTCACTGCGGCAGTGGATGTATCTGAGGGCAATCACGTTCAGAGCTTGGTACCTCTTTTCCCTTTGTTTGTTTTTTTGTCTTTTTGTTTTCCTTTTGAAGACTCTTGGCTGTTTGTGCTTCTGCTCCTGGCGAGAGGCGGGGATCATTCACCGAGATCTTTGAAGACGGATCTGGCTGCAGTTCTGACCAGGCCATTTTCATGGTCGTATCAGTTCTTTATGCTGCTTGACAATTAGTTGCTCTTGCTTACGCTTGATCGACATTTTCATGTACACGAGTGGAAACGAGAAAACTATTGCCTCTTTACATTCCAGCTGCTGGCAGCAGGTCCAGAATACGGGCGGTACCTGTGCCAAGCATCAAATGTCCCATGTTGGTTCCCGCCCCCTGCAGGCACGGCAAAAATCGGCACGCAGGGCATAAAAATTGGCACGCAGGGCATATTCAGGCTCGGCTTCAATAGCTGGGCCAAGTATTGGTGGTTTAATTTACACTTACTCCATTTATGGTTTCATGTACACTTGAGGAAACCCTTGAACAGCCTGCACACTTGGAACATAACTCCACGGCTTGCTGACCAGTCTGGCAAAAAAAAAAGAAAAACCAAAAAAAAGCCCCACTTGGAGTGCCATGCTGGCGGTATCCGCTGGCACTTGAACTCAAGGTACCTCCGGGGGCACTTGAGTTCCAACTTCCAAGTGCTATTTGGCCCCAGTGGCACTTGAGAGTTTCAAGTATGCACACTTGAGAGCAGGAATTCAAAGTGTAAGCATTACAGAGGGCCCTAGGGGTCATTAGGGAGGGGGGCATACCTTTCTCGGCCTTTTGGCTAAGATCAAGTGTAGTATCTGTTCTGATCAGTTTAATATCTGATCCGTGGTCCATCGGACCACACAATATTAAATTGAATTTTCAGGGCTATGGAGGGGTCGTACGGGTAGGCTTGCCTACTCGACCCTTCCAGCGTTGCCTTCGTATTGCACCTTCCAGCTTTGCCTTCGTATGGCCCGTCCCCCTGGGGGGAAATTAAATAAAATATAAAAAAATAATTAAAAAAAAGGGAGGGGGGTGTGGAATGAACAAAGAATTTCCCGTCAATCCTTGAGTTCAAGTGGTGTCGAACGAGGCCCATAGTCCGCAATGTGACCACACGGGTAGAGTCTCCAATTCGGGGTTACCCGTACCAAATGCCTAAAAAAATTGAGACTTTAGGTCCCCTCGTGTGAGTATGCCCTGAGTTATAATGATTTGTTGTTAAAAAAAAACTATGCCCCGAGTGTTCTATTCGGGGATAATTGGGGTGCTAAGGGTAGGTAGGAGTCGGTAGGACCTCGCTGACCAAACATGTTGTAAAAAGGCTCCAATACATACATGCAGGGGAGTCCTACTGCCAGTACGCCTTCTTTTTTTTTTTTCTTTTACGGCAGACTTAACTGCAATACATAGGGCCTCGCTCCACTACTCTCTAGGAGCACAAAAGACAAAAATCACGGCAGTGCATCTTTCCATGTTCTAGCGAAAGATTCACTCTCGTTTTGCGCATTTCCAGAGTAGGGGAGCGAGGGCCATATACACAAATTCCATTCCTTCAACCATCGAATCAAGATGGATTTCTTACCTTTATTCCAGACAAAGGACAAGGGCGTATGAAGCGCCTATTGGTGGATCGAACTATGTCATATGAAGAAAAAAAAAACAAAAAAAAAAAAACTATGTAATATGGATGACAGGGGAAAACCGAGACGGGCTATTTGGTCGTAGTCGTGGTTACTCATGTTCCGAAGGGCCAGATCCCACTGGCAGAGAGGATTGGATTAAGTGTCGGAATCTGGACGTGTTTGTGGAGAGGTGCAGAAAAGTTGAGAAAACTGTAATTGATCTGCTTTTCTGCATCTCTGCGTGGAACATGTCCTGATTCAGACATTTATTCCAATCCTCTTTGCCAGTGAGATCTGGCCCTGAGCCCCCGAGTGAGAAATCGCTGGAGAATAAACGCCCAGGCGAATGCGGAATTACATCGGGCAGCTGAGCTGCATATCCACTTCCACATGTTGGCAGTGTTTTCGAAGCAAGGGCCTCGGTGCAGTACTCAACAAATGTGTAAAATGACGAATGTATTTTCCTGCAGAAGGTGGAAAGGTACATTCACCATCGTTATATCTCTTTCGCGTTTGACTAGCAGTGCAGCGAGGTCCAAATTCCCTCCTCGGCTTCCCAACGCTCGCTCCGCCTCTACAGCACACCAGCTGCTCTCTCTCTCTCTCTCTCTCTCTCTCCCGCTCCTTATACACATCTAGATGTGTATAAGAGACAGGTGTGTGTGTGTGTGTGTGTGTGTGTGTGTGTGTGTGTGTGTGCGTGTGCGCGCGCGCGTATACGTGTGTGTGACAGTGCTCCCACACGCCTGTGTGCGCAGTTCAGCAGCTCACAGCACGGTCTCCATCGCAAGGTGACGTCGAGTTCATGAGCGGGATATACCTCCCAAGCACAAGCTCAGGAACGTTTGCAACGTCGAATGCTGTCGCACAGGGTTGCTTCCGACTCTGTTGGTGCGGGATTCCCGTCGTCGTTGACGAGTAAGGAAAGAGAACATTGTCAATAATTTCCATCTTTTTCAGCAAAAAAGGGAGGCGAGTCTACTCCCAGCAGGTCATCGTCCTGCTGTGTGATCCTCAAGGCAATCCCACTTAGCACTTAGCAGTCTTTTTCATCCGACCCATCTGGGCAATCCCGGTTGCCGTCACATCGCTCTCCCATTACGCACCATTTGCCATAGCACTTCACTCTGTCTTTGCGACACGTGTACAGTCTGCAGAAGCCATGCCCTTCATCACTGCCGTCCTCACAATCAGCTTTCCCGTCGCAGTAATCGCCGAAGACGTACTTGGTCTCGTTGCTCTTACAGCTGACTCTGTTGAAGTCATCAAGCAGGTCGCGCGTCGTCTTCAACGCACAGAACGCTGGGTTCTCGTCCGCGTCGAGGTAGCACCCATCACTGTACCCATCACACATCAGACTAGGATACACGCACCAGACATACTTCCCCCCCGGGCAGGTTATGGTACCGATCCCAGCCTCAGAACAGTCGTGCTTCCGGCAGGAGTCGGGATCTTCGTCCGACAAGTCGCGGCAGTTCTTGCGGCCGTCGCACACATCTCCTGGCCAGATGCACTGCGCGCCGTCTTTGCATTTAATCCGCCCGTCAACGGAGCTGCAGTTGAAGTTTCTACAAAAGTTCTCGTCCTCGTCTGATCCGTCGTTACAGTCCTTCACACCGTCGCACAGAGTGAGGAAAGCGCACTCCTTTCCGCTCGGACACTTCTGCCCTTGTCTGCAGTCTTTCGTCGCACAGTCGGCCTCGTCAGTTGCGCCGGGACAGTCTCCCACTCCGTCGCACAGTTGCGTCGCCCGGATGCACGTTCGGTTGTCTCCCCCCTCGCACTTGATGCCTCCATCAGGACAGGCAATCTGCTCACAAAACGCTCCCTCGTCGTCGCCGTGGGGGCAATCTTGCTTGCCATCACACATCCGCTGTCGGTTAATGCACCTGCCGCTCCCACACTGAAACAGATCGCGGAGGTAGGCGGAAGAACACCCGTGCTTCTTGCAGAAGTCGTCAGTTTCCTCGCTCTCGCTCCCCCATCTGCCGCCGCCGCTCCCCCCGCCACCGGCGCAGTTGACGACGCCGTCGCACAGCTGCGACTCGTACACACACCTGGCCTTTCCCCCCGCCGGGCAGCGCAGTCGGCGGCTTGTGGGCGGAGGGCCGAGGAGGGTCAACGGGAACCCTTTGTGCGGCACGTCGCTCACACAGTCGTACGAAGCGCAGAACCTCTCGTCTTCGTCGGAGCCGTCTGCACAGTCCTTCACCCCGTCGCACAAGTATGCCGTGTACGGATCCCTGTGGATGTACCTCAACCCCCCAGACCCGTCGCTTACGTTCATGCACAGCTTTCCGCTCGGACACTCGTACCTATTTGTCCCTACGCAGTCGAACGACTCGCAGAAATGCCCCTCATCCGAACCGTCATAGCAGTTGTGCACACCGTCGCACTCCTGCTCCGGCTTGATGCATTGCTTGATGCCGCTCCTACACCTCTTGTAATCCCGGAAGCAATAGAAATCAGCGCCATCGCTGACGCCGTTGGGTCCATCGTCCCTCGCGGATGATGGGCGCGACTGCGACGCCATCGCGTACGGGACTGGAGTCAGGTTAGCAGCGGAAACAACAGCGGGGAACAACAAGCAGAAGACGGCGACGCAGAGGCGGAGAAGAATCGCCATCGCCGCTCTCTCCCCCATAGCGGGGGCAGAGGACAGCGCAACTCGGCGCATGCCCCTTGTTAGCCCCGTTCGAACCCTAATTATACTCTGCTTGAGTTGACGGACGTGTATACCCTAGAGAGAGAGAGAGAGAGAGACCTGTCTCTTATACACATCTAGATGTGTATAAGAGACAGGGGCAGTTGAGTTCCTGTGAAACTCCGGAAACTG